GAGGCAGACTAGCACTCTGGCTACTAGCTTGGGCATTAGACCATGCTGAGTGAGTTCAATTTAACTATTTATGACTTTGTGATCTTAGGCAACATAAGCACTCTAGTCTGTTTCTTTATCTGTAAAATGGGAGTAATCATGGTACTTACAAGGTACTGAGGATTAAATCAGATGATCCAAGTAAATTACGAGAGCATGCTTACTTAGCACGTAGTAAGCACTCAATATTAGCCACTAGTATTAGATATGTTGTTATTGCCTACTACTTTGTGGATACATGGGGGATACGGTTACCCACAGTAATAACGATGTCCAGACTATAATATGATGGTGATGCTCATGGGATCTTACTGAACATCAAGCAAGCTTTAAAAAAAATTACAAATGAAAGGTTACTCCTTCCCTAAGATGACCTCATATGACTACACTAATAGCATTTGCATGTTTTACAGCAGCAAATATATCTGCATTGAAGTGCAATTATAACTCATTTTTAGCAGTGATACATAAATGTAATTCCAATTACTTATTCTTCTTAAAAATAGTGTTAGCTGATTTTCCCCATGGTTTGGGGCACCTAACATGGCACCTAATTTTGCAATAAAAATGCTCAGTACATGTATTTCCATCCCCTAGTATATAGCCTTACACTTAGAATATCATTAAAAAGGTCCATAAAATAGCTATCACATATTTAGTGCCTATTGCTTACCACCTATACTTGATAAGTTGCACAGATTATCTCATTTAATTTTTCCCTCAAAACAATCCTAAAGAGTATGACAAATAGCATTTCTTGTTTATAATTTGAGGATATTATTCAAAAAGATTAACTGGAAGGCATACTTTTGTGGTAGCTCACTGAGCTATGTATTTATGTACTTTTCTGTGTGTGACACTTCAATTAAAAGGTTTAAAAAGAGGGAAAAGTAGCAGAAAGTTAATACAAGTAGCTACTATACAAGCTATAAAGTGCTGAAATGTTTGGGAGCCAAGGAAGGCAGATTACAAGGTCAAGAGTTCGAGACCAGCCTGGCCAACATGGTGACACCCCGTCTCTACTAAAAATACAAAAATTAGGTGTGATGGCGTGCACCTGTAATCCCAGCTACTTAGGAGGCTGAGGCAGGATAATTGCTTGAACTCGGGAGGTAGAGGTTACAGCGAGCTGAGATTGTGCCACTGCACTCCAGCACAGAGTGAGACTGTCTCGGAAAGAAAAAAAAGTTAGACCAAGATCTGGGTATATTTTATGTCTTCCAAAATGATGAAATTTCTTCCCATTTCCAAATAGTATTTGTTGTCGAGATTTATCTGAATATTCAAAAGCCATTGTTATGAGTAAAGATGAAGTGTCCTTTCCATTTAACTTTAAAGGAGGTCTTCTATTTACATAGATTATCAAATAGTAATGTCCTTTTCTTACTTAATGTAATTTAGAGTTACGAGAATGTTTCACCCTTCTTGTGACAGGTTTCGTGATGAGAAAATGAGAGAAAAACAAAGACACCAAGAAGAAAGGCTAAAAGCTGCTCTGGAAAAAGCAGTAGCACAACCAAAGAAAAAGGTTTGTTTTGCTATTAACAGATCCATCCACATCAATATGTGAGCGCCTCTTTGGTACAAAAATACCTTATTCATCTAACTTATTCAGGTTGAACTTCAGAAAGATAATCTTTCTTGCTCACAGCTTCAATTAGTCTCTCTCTGGTTCCTTGTTACTTTTTAGAATAATTCAAATTAGTGGCCCTACAGTTCTCAGTTAGACCCACTTTTTAGTAAAAGCCTCTTTCCTTTTTTTCATAGCCTTAGGTTCATTAAAATCAGATTTTTTTTTTTAGTGTTTTTTTGGGAATAGATTATAACAGCATATGGTTCAAAGCTCAAAAGATACAAGAGTATTTGGTGAAAAGCCACTCTTCCTCAGTTCCCCTTTCTGGAGGCAACCACTGTTAACAGGTTCATTTACATCCCTCTGGAAATATACATACACAAGTATGTATTTATGTACGTATTCTTTTTCTTACGAATGATCTAGGAACTTGGCTTCTTTCACTCAGCAATGTTTTGGAGACAGTGAACCCAGAGAATCACATGTAACTGTGGGACTGTAAATAATCCCCACATTGTAAAGATGATGAGATTGACAGTTGGGAGTTAAAATGATTTACCCAGAGTAACTTCCGACTTAACAGCAGAATCAGGACCAGAAGCCAAGGTTCTTTATTTTGCAAGACTACCTGCCCAATCAGAAGTTTAGGATTAGGTAGTCACATAAATGTGGTCCATCACTTCTACACAGGGGTAAGGAGCGCCTTTTGTTTCTATATGCCACTCTTTCCCTCCTCTGGGATAGGGTCTGAAATATATTCCAGAAAGACAAAGTTATCTGCAAAGCTATTGTGGACACTGACTCTTACCATAGTAATAGCTAACACATAATGAATGCTTACTGTGTGCCTTACAACCAACTTCTTGAGGTAAGAACTTAAAAAAATTTCTGAAGTATGGAAATGGTTAATAGGTGCCATGCCAAAAAAGTGATTACTTCAAAATATTTTATTGAAATAAATACTTCATCTTAAAAAGTGCATTTATCTAGTTCAGTTCTTTCCATGAAGACTTTCCTCACCTGTCCTCTCCTCCCAAGAATTAACCATTCATCACGCTTCCACATGCACTATTTAGTAAACCCACCAAATTGAAATTATTTTAGACCATGAGTTTTATGACATTTGTATCCCTAATACCTGGCACATCATGGATACTTGATGTATAGTGAATTAACATACTAAAAATATGCGTAAAAACTAAAAAATGGAAAAAACTGGGGAAAACATGGTTATCTGACAAATCAACAACACACAAAAGGCCTCTGATAGAAGCTGACCCAGTTAGGATACTTCATCACTGGTAATTTTCTCAAACAATATTAATAACAAATGTTACCAAAGATCTCTGAGTTAAAAATTCTGATATGCAAAAGCAATTCAGAGATTCTAGTCCCCCAAGGACATTTTTGTTGTTACAGTGATGGAGAAGAGTGCCATTGTTATTTAGCTTCCCTTGGGCCTGCAATGCAGGGGACAATCTCACATGAGAATTGTCCTAAAATGTCAATAGTGCCTTTTGAACATAGTGGCAACGTCCCATCAAATCTCATAGAATTATGGTAGTTTCCCCATTTACACATTTAATTTATACAAATTCAGCTATAAAAGCAAAACAGAAACAAAAAGCAGGGGAGAGAATCCCAAAAGTAAAAGAAAAGTAAGTAGTAATATACTTGAGTATATGCCCCAGAGAGAATGAATAGGTATGAACTAGGGATTTCCCAAAGCCTCTTCTGTTGGTTAACACCTCCAGAAGCCAACCAGTGTTCAAGATGGTACATGGTTTTCTGAACTTTTTATTTAACAAGATTTCTAAATGCTAGTCAGGTGCTCAACAGGAGAAAGCTATCTCTTCCAACCACGGAGGAAAAACTGACTATGGCACTTACTGAGAAATAAAATGGTGGCCTTCAACATGGTGCTTTTCTAAGTTGACCACATTTGAACCATATACTATTTGATGACTTTACCTAAGTTTTCCCACTTCCCAATAAAATCTAACTGCTGTTCCTTTGGCATACTTATTGGTGTCCAATTTGCTATTCAACTTTGCCTAGCACGTTAGACATCTGTTAGGTTATGAGTCCCTTTTAACTGTGATTAGTTAATATTTCAAATGATATTATTCCTTGTAAAAATCAAGTTAATATTGGTATTTCACAAACTTCAAAAGAAAATGGCTATGCTCAAAAATATTATTTTGTTTTTCTTTTGTTTCAGTTGGGAAGACGACTTGTGTATCGTTCAAAACCTCCATCTGGTAACAAACAGCAGCTACCTTTAGTCAATGAGACGAAAACAAAATCACAAGAGGAGGAATATTTTTTTACTTGAATAAAAGTAGTAACATATTTTATTACCAGAATGTCTTAGGTATATTTTGTAAATTTTGGCTTTCACTAATGGCAATATTCTGACCCATGTACCAGGCCTAATCAATTTGAGAAAGATAGGCCCTTATTCTAAGGGCTATAGGATTAGAAATGAGTTATTTTCTTTTGTTGAAGCCTTTAAGTATTCATATCATAAGTATTATTCCATATAGCTAAACATTTTTATCTATACTTTGAGTTGTCCCACTTGGGGATACACATAAAAGATAGTTTAATGATAAAACTGTATGGTAAATGACCACTGAAGTATAATAATGGCCATTCTCTTACAACATGATTATTTAAATGATATATTTTCTCAACCCATCTGTAGGGAAGTTCACAGCATGCTGTTATTACTATGGAATATACAAATATTTTAACAATGTACAACCCTAAAATATCTGAAGGGTTTTGGGGGGGCTTAAAACTTAACCTCGAGGTTATGGTATCAGAACATCTGTGAGCCTGGTTGTTACTTCACATTACATTTTGTTCAGAGAACTTTCTTCTCCTTAGTAAACAAACCATATGCCTTCAGCCTAAATGTCAGTTCCCAATTTCTGTTGTGCCTTGTCTGCACAATCATTTTTAGATGTTTCCATTTTAGCTACAATATGTGCATTTAGCTTATACTGACAGAGAAGTAACATGTAATTTTACTAAGTAAAATAAGATAGTATATTATTAATACCAAAAACATGTTTAATTTTATACATGTTAAAAGTGGCTCAAAAATAACTTTAAAAGAAAAAGTTGCATTTAAAAGGTCTCAGCTAATATATAATTTTACAAGAAAAGGTCTGAAATTCACCTTCATAAAAACATCTAAAGCATATAAATAACTATCCTTTACAGGAAAAAAACAGACTATCAAGCTTACAAAAGAAAAGCAACTTAAATAAAATTCGGTGACTTTTAAAGCATTAGTTTTGTGAGTAATCTTTCTCAATTGGTTCAGCATTTGAGCTTTGCTTGTAAATATCTGAATACAAATAGTTCACAAGTCAAGTTGAAGAACAAACAAATCTTTATTGTCTAGAAATATATATATATAAAAAAAAAAAATCCCGGGGGCTGGGGTCAGGAAAAAAAAAAAACCTCCCACAAAATATGCTATTCTCTCATTTCCCCATCTTCTTCCTCTTCTTCCACACCTCTGATATAAAGGACATTATTACACCTGTAAACAGAAAAAGTCCATTTTGTTGTTCCAACCAGAAACCATGTATGATCTGAATTACTATATTTTTATTATGAAAACACTGATTGCTATATTTTTAATATTCTTGTCTTTAAAAATATATATATTTGTTTTGAAAAAACGTTTTACATAGATATGTTGAAAAGCACATGGCACTGATTTTCCACCATATGGTTGTTATAAAATGACATCTTTATAATTTTCCAAGGGAAATCATTATCAGAATTTGGAGCTTTGAAGCTAGTACAGAAAATGAATATAACAAAAATTCTTACAAACAGCCAGACTCAACTAAAATTCAAAACTAAGTGCCTCCAACAAAGGCCACTGAAAAAGGTTATAGAGCCAGAAAATTTAACATCAACACGAGAAAAATCTTTTGGCCAGTTCTAAAACATTTGAAAACTTACCTATGACAAGTTTAACAATTTCAAAGACTTCTGAAGTCTAACTGTAAAGTATTATAAATTAATACTGATTTTTTTTTAAAATAAGTAACTCCAAAATTGAGGCATTAATATATTTAAAACAGGTATTCCTAATGCTCACCAGTAACTCCTTACATATACCACTGCTGTTTTTTACCTTATTAAAACTTCACCCAGATGTCCAGACAATGCTCCATCTATGTATTCTTCTGTATTTGCAAGCTTTCAATAAAAAAAAAAATGTTAGTATAATCACACAGGAGGAAAATATTACAATACAGCTAATACTGGTGAGAGAACTTATTAACTGAGACCTTTCTATACGAACAACTCAAATGTATCTATAATTAATAAACAGAAGATGAGCTTTCTATTACTACTGTAGGACTTTTGGTTTCATATAAACCTTCAGTAAAATTAACATTCATGGATGTAGAACAAATAGATAATAAAGCTTGTTTCAACATAAGCTTCTGAATATCCCAGGTTATGTAAGTTTCAGATATCAAAACTGTGTGGAAGCAGGCAGTCTCTACTTTATGAATAAATTGTGATTAAAAAGTTTTCTGAAAATTCATTCTAAAGCACCAAATGTTGTTTTCTCAGAGTCAAACATTATAAAGCATACTGAGGTGTCCAAATGGGTGTACAAAAGCTATTGCTAACATGCCAAATACCTTTATATTAGTCAACATCTAAAGCAGGTAATTGAGTAAGAATTTTCTTCTTTTCTTGCCTTTTAAGAAACAGGGTCTCACTCTGTTGCCCAGGCTGGAGTGCAGTAGCACAATCATAGCTGACCAAAACCTCCAACTCCTAGGCTCCTCCCACGTCAACCTCCTGAGTAGCTAGGACCAACAGCATGTGCCCCCGAGCCTGGCTACTTCAAAAACAATTTTGCTATATTGCCGAAGCTGGTCTGGAACTTCTGCCCTCAAGTGATCCTCCTGCCTTGGCCTCCCAAAGTACTGGGATTATAAGTATGAGCCACCACATCTGGCCAATGAATAAGAACCCTTTTTAAATTTTATACTAATAAATAGGGGAAAAGAGGTTCTTAAGAGCAAGTTAAATAGTTAAGTTTGACCTTTACAGTTATTTTGTTGAACTCTATTACTTCTAATTTTATATCAAAATGTTTAGCTTTCCTTCTACACATATAGGTAATAAGCTTTACTTGTAATTAAAAAAAAATCACAATCAATGCCACCTGGGACTCAGAGACGGAACTAAGAGCAGTGAAGGGAGAGGGAGGTTTCCTTCACAAACAAGCATGTGGAAAAGGAAACGAAAAATAGGGCTTAACAATAAGGATTAAATTAGGATGTAACATAAAGCATGAAAAACATGTTAATGAACAGTACTGATGTTACTCCCTCTCTTACAGAAAACAAAAAGTAATCTACATTATCCAGATGATACAGCTTTGTCTGAAATATATGAGGTTGTTGAGACAATTAGTTTGTATGTAACGGCTATAAGAAATAATATTAAGAGCAATTAATTTTCTGTAAAAGGTAACTACAACATTTAACCGGTTTCTAAACAATAATGCTCCAGATACTTTCTATCATGTATTAAATTCAGTCTTCACCATCACTCAACAGGCTCTCTATGTCCACCATTCCAGCCTTTCTATTGTTCTTCCCTTAACTCAATCTGCTCTGGCCTTCTTGCTATGCCTTGAACATACCCAGCACGCTTCTGCCACAGGCCCTTTGTACTTGCTGTTCCCTCAAACTGGGATGCTTTTCCCCAAACACTCACCTGAGTTGTACACTAATTCTGGTATCTTCCAGAATTTGTTTCCTCAGAGAGGTTGTCCTATATAATATTGCACATACTGTCTATCCCCTTTTTCTTCATGGATAGCATCTATCACACCTGTTACCACATTATATTACCACCTCCCACTACTAAAATATAAACTCTGGAGGGCAGGGACGTTGCTTTGTTCAATGCTATATTCATAGTGCCAGTCACATAATGGGAGTCAATAAATATTTGCCAAGTGAACAAATTCAAATGCTGGTATCAATATGGTTGACTACTCAAAGTGGTTGGTTACCCAGGTATTTTCTAACTCTAGCAAGCTCACTAGCAAGCTATACTGATTCTAAAACAAATATTAAGTGGTAATTCTTTTATTATTGAGATGTTAATTTCCATAGCATAAAATCCACTCTTTTAAAGTGTACAATTCAGTGGCTTTTAGTATATTCAAAAAGCTGTGCAACTATCACCACTAATTCCAGAATACTTTCATCACAATTCATTTACGTCCCAGATTTTTCTATGGTCTTGGTAAATGATTCCTGTTTTAGGAAATTTTCCAAACCCAAACTATGCTTTGAGGACCTTAGTGTCCTGTGCTTAGGTGGTAAATGCTTAAGTTAAGGAAAATCATCGCTCTCTGCCTACTTAATGTACTCCTTTCAGCACTCTTCTCTCAAGTATGGAATCCTAGGATTCCTGATTGGATTGACCAACTGTCTTGATAGCCTTTAAAAACCTGGCTGGAACTGTTTACAATAGCAAAGACCTGGAACCAACCCAAATGCCCATCAATGATAGACTGGACAGGGAAAATGTGGCACATATACACCATGGAATACTA